CCTCCTCCTCCTCCTCCCTCCAGAAGATACCGTGGCGGTGCATTATGGTGAGGCTATGCCAGGAAAGGTTTCGACGTGGCCTGGAGGTTCCCATCCCACATCCCTTTCCTCGGAGGCGGTGCTGAGGTGATGGAGGCTCGTGCCCATTGAGCTCAAGTTGGGGATTCGTCGACTTCGCATGTGGCAGAGCTTCGCAAACACTCATGGTCATCGTCAGGTCCTGGCCAGCCTTTTCACAGGTGCTGGTGGCAGTCTTCTCGGTCGTTCTCCTCACATCTTCAGTGATGGACGCCTAGGGAATAAAAACCTCCTCGTCGACCGCACGCGTGGGAAAGGTTGTTGGGAGCTTATCAGAACTTGGGGAGAGTGTTTGTCGACTGGAGTGTCCTGATAGACGATACGTCCTCCTCTTTGCTGTCGCGTACTTTGCAGATGAGTTCGTCAAGATCGACGTTCGCCAACTTCGTCCGTCGGCTCTATCGGTACGTAGCCCCCCTCCTGGGCAATATGTTGTATCTGCGACCGTGCCCGAAGCTAAATTTGGGAGTGCTTCCGAATTTACCGGTATACTTACTAATGCGGACGGTTCTAGATGTGGTAAGTCTTTACCCGATTGGCGGGCTCTACATAATCACATCATCAATTACCATGGCTGTCGCCACCATGTACATATTACTAACCAGTGCGGTGTGTATGGCGGCTTTCGCTCATCTCGAGAGTGCCCAGCGTCATCTCACTCGGAATCTCGTTCGTGGTCATTGTCTACGAGGCCGAACCCAGAACATTGCCGAGGTGCGACTGCCGACGAGCCTGACCAGGCCACTGTCCCTTCTCCGAAAGCGTTTTGAGCGATCTCCAAGTTCACCTTCGCACTCACCCAGTACCGTGCCCACTACCTCTAGGCAAGCGCGTTCCACTACTCGCAAAGTAATTACTCGCAAATGGCCTGGATCCGCCGTGGGGGATTTACGATATATCATATCGAGGCGAACGTGTTTTTTTGACGTGTGCGAGTAGGCACTTTGCGAGTAATGGAACGCGCTCGGTGAACCTCCAGCACCTGAGGACAATGAGGGGATCGACCCCCGCGTGGATGCTGCCGGCAGCGGTGGCGTCATCATCAGGACGACGGGAACCCGAAGAAGAAGAAGGATAATAACAAGAAGAAGATGTCACGCCTGCACGCGCGGGCGCAGGGCAGGGGTGGCGGCGGCACGCTCAAGGCGCTGGTCGCGATCCTCTGCCGCTTGGCTCTGGTAGAGGGTAGAAAAGTCCGCCCCCATAATAATCACCCCGGCCTCGCCATCGCTCGGACGTCCATTCCCTGTGCTTTTTTGTCGGTTTCGTGCGTGGTTCTTTTCGCCAGATGATCCAGGATGCTCCTCGATGGCCCTCGCCGAAGGAAAAATGCACACGTCCGAGCGATGCCAAGCGACAAGCGAAGCCGTTTAGTAAACGCACCCAAGGAAGGAAAGAACAGGACAAGGCTGTATTCGGTCAACGCCCAGGGCCGTCTAATAAGCGCCACTGGCCTGGTCCGGGTGGTTTAACCTCCCTTGGTCTCGGCAGCGCCGCCGAGCTCCGCGAGCTGTGTGGCGTGGCGTCTGGCATAGCCAGCCTCGAACGTATCCCTATCCCTAAGATGGGCGAGCAAAAAGCGAGGACAATCTTAGGGATAGGCCCTCAGAAACTGAGGGAATCCTTAAGATCGGCATCGAGGTGAGGTGATGGCAGACATAGGGATAGGGATATGTCTCAAACTGGTAATGGCACCCTCCTGGTGCCGTCCGAGGCGTCCGTGATCCTCGCCGCGAGCACGAGGAGGCCAGGCGCCGCAGGAACGAGCAGGTCGACGCGCCGATGGGCCCCCCCCTCAGTGCAGGTGTGGGTCGCCATGGTCCAGGCCATGGGCGAAGACGACGTGCGTCCTGCGGCGGCGGCCGGAGAAGTGCTCAGCAGGTGATGGGCACTGTTCGCCATGAAGAACGACACCGATGCGGTGGCCAACAGTGTCAGAGCGTGTCGGGTCCGACCCACGCGCAAGCAGGAGAAGCAGGAGTCGGTTCGCAGAGTTACGTTTGCGGTGGACGCGTCTCATCATCACCTCGAGTCAGCCCTAGCCAGCCGCTTCCAGGCGATCGAGGGTGAGCGCAAGTACGGAGGTGGCTCCGAAAAAGGTCGTTCAAGAGATGCGTAGCGCCTTTTGCACAAAGAGGAGGGCAAGTGAGTGCAGTCCAGCATTTACGGAACGGGCAGAGCTTGGGGAGTAGCTCAATCAATATCTTGATCTCTGACTTGAAGGGTAGTGCTAATGCGAATCCCGACACTGTACGCATGGATGTTGGGAATGCTGATGGCTCTGGCACTGACGCGAACATCGGCAACACAACCACCCACGTATCCGTGAATGCTGGCGGTGGCGATGGCCCATCTGGGGAAGATCCCGATGTGCGACGTCAGGATCTTGTACGAAGTCGGAGGCGCTGAACATGGATTGGGCTCCGCGCGCCCCCTGAAGAGGACGGAGGCGGTGAAGCCACTCGATCCTTGAAGCAGGAAGACGCCCGAAGCAGGCTGGCATCCGGGAATCCAGAAACACCCGCTTTCACCGACCCCTGGGCTTACGTCGGGCCTGTCCCCCTACAGGGGGATCTTGGACGAAAAACAAAAATTGGTCAAACAATACCCTAATCTACTCAAAAATGGTCAAAACATCGTCCCCAGACCATCTTTTACTATTCTGGAATGCCCCTCCTGTATAGGGGGACAGGCCCGACTTGACCCTGGGCGCGTGGAGCCCCAGGGGACAGCCGGGGCCGAGAGTCTGCCGTGGGGCACCTTGCAGGCGGGCCGGAGCTGCCTGCCGGGCGTGCCCACCATGGTCCGGGGGGGCGGCGGGCAGTGAGAGGGGCCCCTGGGACACGCAGAGAAATGCACACACACAAATGGCAGGATGCCCCCGATGTTTCCCTGCTTTCTGGGTTGTTTTGTTCCCCCCCCCCACTCCCCATATATCATTTTCTGGGGAATCGGCGATTCATTGTGTCTGTGTGTGTGCGTGTGTGTGCGTGTGCGTGTGCGTGTGCGTGTGTGTGTGTGTGTGTGTGTGTGTGTGTGTGTGTGTATGTGTGTGTGTGTGTGTGTGTGTTTTTGCTCCCCTCCTGAGACAGGGCAGGACGAGGTCCGCCCCGCGCCCGGTGCCCCGCGCGCCCGCCCGCCCCGTCCTCGCGCTGCTTCCTGGCCTCCTCCTTCTTGCGCTGCTTCTCGGCCTTCGCCGCCTCCTCGCCGGGGGGGGGGGCAGTCAAGGAGGCGAGGCGAGGGCAGAGGGCAGAGGTGGGGCTGGAAGGAGGCGAGGGCAGAGGGCAGAGGTGGGGCTGGAAGGAGGCGAGGCGAGGGCTGAGGGCAGAGGTGGGGCAGAGGGGCAGAGGGGCAAGGGCGAGGCGGGGCGAGGCGAGGGGCAGAGGCGAGGCGAGGGGCAGAGGCGAGGCGAGGGGCAGAGGTGGGGGGAGAAGGAGCATCGCTCCGGAGGGCCCCATGGAGGCATGAGCCGCGCGGACCGGGAGCACCTCCAGCTGGGCCCGTTGCCCCGCCCCGCCCTGGGATGACCCCCCCTCCACGAAGCCCCGACCTTGGCGCGTCTCCGAGCCGGAGCGGGGCACGGCCCTCGTGCCAAGCCACTGGAGGCCTCCTAGATGGGGTCGGAGTAGATGGGGTCGGAGGATCGCGCCGCATCGGCGACGCATCGGCGATGCATCGGCGATGCATCGGCGATGCACCGCCGATGCACCGGCGATGCATCAGCGACGTCGGCGATGCATCCGCGACGGTCGCGTGAAAGACATACGGCTCCGCATGGAGCAGCATCGGCGGTGCATCGGCGAGCGGCGCGATCCTCCGACCCCATCTACTTCGACCCCATTTCTCGCCATCGCTCGGACCTCCATTCCCTGTGTTTTGTTCGGTTTCGTGCGTGGTTTTTTTCGCCAAATGATCAAGGATGCTCCTCGATGGCCCTCGCCGAAGGAAAAATTTGGGAGGCCTAGAGCCACTGAGGAGCGCAGGAGGTAAGCGACGACGGGACGTTTCTGGTCGCGGCGAGAGCCTGAGGCCACGAGCAGATTTCCCGATCTTTGGCTCTGAGGCGGGCGGCCCGCAGACAGCAGCCCCGCCCGATGCCAGAGCGTTTGCCTGCTCTCACGCTCGGCGACGGGCGGGGGGGGAACTGAGGAGGAGAAGGCCGTCTCAGAAGGCGGCGGGACTTCTCAGAAGCCCCTCGCGAGTTCTGAGCAATTGCGCTGTGCCTTCGGGGCACGCGCAGAGCACTTCTCAGAAGGCCGGGGGGCTTCCGAGCCTTCCGAGAAGGCCTTCTCCTTCTCACTGCGCACCCCCTAGGTTCGCCGCCGACCCGTCTTGATCGTTCGGGGCGGGCCCCCTGGGGCGCGGGCGGCCAGCGAGCTCAGCTCTGAGGCACGACCTGCAAACAATAGCCTCCTGCTCCTCCTCCTCGTCCTCCTCCTCCGCCTCCCCCTCCTCCTCGTTCGAACCTCCCCCTCCTCCTCCTCCTCCTCCTCTTCCTCCTCCTCTTCCTCCTCCTCCTCCTCTTCCTCCTCCTCCTGCTCCTCCTCCTCCTCCTCCTGCTCCTCCTCCTCCTGCTCCTCCTCCTCCTCCTCCAGCAGCGGACCGCGTGTCCGCGCCACCTACGCGCCCCAGCCGCCGCCGCCCCCAGTGCGGTCCCACCGCCAGGCGCCTCCGGTGCGGTCCCACCGCCAGGCGCCTCCGGCGCAGCCCCACCGCAAGGGGAGGCCGCCGCCGCACGACACCACCCCGACATCGGCGCCAGGTACGGGGGCTGCCCCCCCGTCGGGGGACCCGTCGATGCATCGGCGTTGCGGCGCAATCCTCTGACCCCATCTACTCCGACCCCATCTGGGAGGCCTAGACCAGCGTGCTTCCACGAGGAGCGCCAGAGAAGGAACGCAGGGGCTTTTCTGACCGCAGCGGGCGTGGGCCGCAAGCAAGCTCCACGACATGAAATCGAAAGGCCGGCCCGAAAACCCTAGCCCAACTTGAGCCCAGAGCGGTCCCGACTACAACGCCTCGACTGTATCGCCATATGGGGCCGCGCCACTCTCGTCCTCCTGCGGCTACGGCAGCGCCCTGGGCCTCACCACTGGGCCCTGGCCTGGATGGCCCTGGCGTCACCTCGGGCATCTGGCTCTGCCCAGTACGCGAGTCCTCCATGTGAGCAAATCTGCTTATCCTCCCTCTCGCTCTTTCCCTTTCTTGTTGTGTGCCTTGTCTGTCTCTGCTTCTCTCTCTCTCTGTACTTCTCTCTATACATGTATTTTTTGTATGTATGAATGTATATTTATATAAACATATATATATATATATATATCACATATATATATATATATATCTATATATATATTTATATAACTATATGTGTATAGATGTGTATATCTATGTATGTGTATATGTATGTCAGCAACTGTGTCGCTGGGCACTGAGATGGCGTGTCCTCAGGTCCTTTGTCCTTTGCCGATTCCCTGAAGCACTCCCGATGGTTCTTTTGAGAGCCCGCGCCCTTAGTTCTCAAAATCTCTCGGGGCTTCTCGCGTGCCCTCCCCCCGCGGCTTGTCGCGTGAATGGCTTGGGCCCAAGACGACCCCAAGACGGGCCATGAGGGCTCCAGGAGGCCTTCAAAACGGCCCCAGAGGGCCCCGAGTCGCCGACGGATCGCTCCAAGACTCCCGAGATGACCTCAAGACGGCCTGAAAGGCCTCCTATACTCCCCAAGAAGCATCCAAAAGGCCTCCCAAGGAAACCCCAAGAAACACAACTATTGATTTGGTTCTCGCCTTTTCCGCTTTCCGACGCTCCAAGACGCCCCAATAGGCCCCCAAGACTACCCCAAAACGACCCAAGCGGCCTCTAAGAGACCCCCGCGACGGCCTACGAGCGCCTCAAGACGGCCCAAGAGGCGCCCAAGACGGCCCAAGAGGGCCCCAAGACGGCTCCAAAATGGGCCCAAGAGAGGAAACACGAACCGAACATCCGAGCCTTCTGCCCCAAGAAGGCTCAGGAGGCCCCAAGAGGCGCCCAGGAGGTCACAAGAGGCCCTCAAGAGGCCTCCAGACGTCCCCTAAGAGGCCCAAGACAAGCCCCAAGAGGCCCCAAAACGGCCCCCAAGAGGCCTCGAAACTGCCTCCAAGAGGCCCCCGAGAGGCCTCCCACGAGATCCAACGAACTTCCACTAGGCTTCATACGCGCAACCCAGACACGTGGCGGGATGCGCCGAAGGCCATTCGATGTAACAGAAAAGTTGCTTGTCTCTGTCCACAAATGCGGATGTCCTGATCACTTCGTGCGCGTTCTGGGCTCCATCTACAAAGACCGCGCTTTCGTCAACGACTTCGACGAGACGTCTGCAGAGCACATATACACGTATGGCATAATATGTCAAAGATGCCCACTCTCCCTCCTCTCCACGATTGTGTGATGATGACGCTTCTCACGGATGCGGTATATGTTGCAGGCGAACTAAGGTGAACTGCGTGGTGAGACTTCCGCGTGGGACTGAGAGCCCGTCTATGCTGATGGCGCCCTACCCATTGGCAACGACCCTCGCGTCGTACAGGAGCTCATGAATGCCACCGACACCTGCGGGGTGCACTCCAGGACCAAGGCCATTTGGCAAAACAGATGTCAGGAAACATCGGATGGCAACAATTTGTTTTCCTCCTCTAGCACTCCAGTCGGGTGCAACAACAGCTCTCGCTCTCACACACAGAACCCTGGCCTCTTGCTGCCGTTCGGGACGATTCGCCCCTTCCCCCCCCCATGGAGAGCACTCGGCGAGGCGCAGCTGTAGGCTGTAGGGAAGCGTCCCGAGGCTGGAAGCCCTGTTGGCACGCAGCGGGAAAGCCAAACGCAGCCGCCGTCGTCCGAAGACGCGCCGCCAGGGCGGGCGGGCGGGCGCCCCGCGCCGCGCCCGCCAACGTGCAGGCCCGCGGGCCCGGGCACCCGCGGGGACGGAACCGAGAACCTCGACCAGCGAGCAGCGAGGCCCGGGCGAGCGGGGGAGGAGCGGGTGCCCCGGGTGGGGCGCTCCTCGGCCCTGCGCTCCACCTCCCGCTTCTTCTTCTCCTCCTCCAGCTGCTTTCGCCTGCCCTCGCGGGCCTCCTGGATCTCCTGGGGGGGGGGGCTGGAGAGGGCGGGGGCGGGCGGGCGGGCGGGGGGGGGGGGGGGGGGCGCAGCGAGGGGGGGAGGGGAGGGGGGAGGAGCGGGGGAAGGGGGCACTTGGGTTGGGCCCGCGTCCAAGCGAGAGCAGCCCAGGCCAGAAGTCTGCCATCCAACCGCCGCCGCCATGCACCTTTCAGGATGAAGCCTGGGGGGCCAGCGGGAGCCGCTGGGATGGGACTGCAGCCCCTTGCCGTGGCACCCCTCAGAGTGAGGCCAAGGTTAAAGCGAGCCATTGGGATTAGACATTAGACTGCAGCCGCCACTGGGTCCGAAGCTCAGCCGAGAGCCACAGCATTGTGGAACGACGTCGGGGCCACGGCGAAAGGTGCCGGGACGGGGATGCAACCAACCACACTGGCACCCTTGATGTTGAGGACATGGCTGTTGCGACAGGAGCCGCCGACAACAGAGGACGCGGAAGGGCATTATGAAGATAGTAGTGAATTCGCTCACCGTCTATCCCTATCCCTCATTCTCTTTCCCCTCTTTCCATCCTATCTGCCTTTCCTCCCCATCTCTCGTTCCTTTGCTCACTCCCTGCTGACTACCCCCCAATTCCCTCCCTCCTGCCTCATGCACCCCCGCCCGTACTTCACCTGATGCGCGATCCGTGCGGTGCTCAGCAAACCGGGGGCGGACGAAGAACGCGCCCGTGCCACCGAAGCGCCTGGCGAGCGCCCTGGTCCCGCGAAGCCTGGAGCACCAGAGGCATGTGCTGATCGTCGCATCTCTCAGTTTGAGTCCAGAACTCGATCTACAGTCGGACTCGATTGGACAGGACACGCAAGAGGACACAAGGCCCTTCCGAGGGCCACATTGCCACAGGAATGTAGGAAGCATGGGTCGCGAGACACAGGACACAAGGGTACCCTTGATTTGGCAGGGTCGACGTACTAATCTGGGCCGACTGTAGAGGGACACACACAGACATACACAATACATAGATAGACACAGACCCTAGGATGTCCCATATTTTGAAGGTTTTCTGGGTGTTCGTCTTTCCCTCCACTTCGCTTGTTTTCCAAATTCGCCTGGGAATCGACGATTACTTGTGGCCGTGTTTTCTTTCCTCCTGAACTTATCGGGTCGGCGCCGCGCGGAGCGCGCCAGGGGAGGCACCGCAGGCGCCGCCAGGAAGGTCCAGCGCAGATCTCAGAAGTCCGGAAGCATCTTCGAACGTTTATGCTGACGTCGGCAGCGAGCCTGGGGGGGAAGTGAGAAGGAGAAGGTTTTCTCAGAAGGCTCCGAAGTCCTCGGGCCTTTTGAAAAGGTTTTCTGAGCATTCCCCGAAGGCACATAAAACTTCTCGCAAAGCCCGAGGGCTTCTGAGACGTCCCGCCGCCTTCCGAGAGGGCCTTCTCCTTCTCTCTTCCCCCCCTCGCTCGCCGCCGATTACGGCGAGGGCATGGGATAAGGAATCCTTTGCCTGGATGACGGCGAGGCCTGCATCACCGCCGCCCTCATCAGGGAAGGAAGCCTCCAAGGCCTGCGACAAGCCTGGGCACATTCCCGGCCACGCCCGCCCCCCACCGTACAGCGGAGGCCAGCCCACAAGAAGCCTTCCAATAGAGAAACCCGAGCCTGAGGCCCCAGGGCGTCCCCCGTGGGAACGTCGCGCTTTCCATGGCACAACGACCGAAGTCCAAGAAACCCAGGGCACCCTTAATGGGGCGTGGGCTCCCACGAAGTACCCCCTTCTGCGCGCCGCCAGAGCTGGCCGCCCCTTCTCCTTCCTGGAGGGGCGGGAGCTGGCCGCAGGTGCGAGGGCGAGGCAGGTTTCGGTTGCATCGCGACGCCTCGGCGCGGCGTCGGTGCGGCGCCGGTGCCTTGAGACATCGCTCGGACGTGTGCGCTTTTCCTCGGCGAAGGCCCCAAGGGCACCCTGGAGGCAAGCAGGGTGCTTGTTGGCATGGGTCTCCACTGCATGCCTTGCGCGGTTGCGATCCGGGGGAACTGGCGCGGGCGAGCAGGACCGGGCCGCACGAAGGGGAGTGGGGAGGGCGGGGGGGGGGGCGAGCAGAGGGGGGGTAGCGAACCAGCTCGCGTGCCTTGTTTTTCCGGCGCCTCCTGGCGAGGATCCCACAGAAGGATCGCTCCAAAACGTTCCAGGAGGCCTCCAAGAGCACTCCCAAGAGGGCCCCACGAGGCAACATTCATTGACTTTCCCATGGTTTGTGGGGGATGTTTGAGTTCTTCCCTTTTCGGGCGGGGCCGAAAGCAGTGGCACGCAGCAGATTTCGTCCCCCCCCTTTTTCCCTGAGCCCCCTTTCCGTCCGCCCCGAGAGAAGTAAAAGGGCTGGCCCCATTCACCTTTACCAGCTTTCCTGCACGCCTCTTTGCTCCAGAGGCCTCCAGAATGGAGTCCGAGATATGCGAGCAACATCGGGCCGCATCCAGCCACATCGCCGATGCATCGGCGATGCGGCGCGATCCACCGACCCCATCTACTCGGACCCCGTGTGTGAAGGAGCCCTTGGTGCAGCACTTCTGCTTCGCCGCCGATGTCAACGTGTGAAGGAGCCCAGGGACACGCAAATGAATGGACACACGTCCCAAGACTCCCCATATTCTCAACATGTTCTGGGCTCTCGTCTTTCCCATCTCCTTGCGAGGAAGGGGAGGAGGAGGAGAAGGATGAGGAGGAGGAGGAGGAGGAGGAGAAGAAGGAGGAGGAGGAGCAGGAGGAGGAGATAGAATCGACGATCCTTGGTGCCTGTGGGCCCGCACGCTGGGAAAGGCCCGCGCCACGCCGTCGCACGCCGCCGCGCACCCCAGAAAGGCCACCGCCGCCTGGGACTCTCTCTCTCGCGCGGCGCAGCTCCTCCAGAGGCCTGGGCCCCTTTTGGCAGCGCGCAGCAGGGGGTATTTTGGGTGACCAAAAATAGGGTCCAGCTGAAAGTGGGTGGTGCAAAAGATTTGGGGCTAGTACACTGCAACTGTATTGCGCTGGAGACTTGTGTTGCAATGTGTTGCAAGTAATGTGTTGCACGCGCAAATCCAGCAAGACATCTGCGCCCCGGAATGTATTGCACGCCCCAAATGAATTGTAATCCAACAAACCTATTGCACCAAATGTATTGCACCACGCCCTTGTCGCTTGACCACATTTTGGGTCAACCCAGGGTATGGGGGAGGGGGGAAGGCTTCTTAGAAACACACCTGCTACTTAGAAGGCGCTGGCCCTACATGTACAGACAGCGCCCGCCCCGTTCCAAGAAGCAGGGGTGCTTCTGAGAAGCCCTCCCCCCTCCACCCCCCTCTGCGCGTGGCTAACACAAGCATGGTTTTGTCCCCTGCCCCGCGGGCGCCAGGCCCTTCACTCCCGAGCCGCCCCGTGGGAAACCTCTTGGGGCCATCTTGGGGGCCTCTTTTGGTAGTTTTGGGCCGTTGTGGAGCAAAGTGCGACGATAGAAGCCTGAGGAAAATCAATGGTCGTGGCTTCTTCGGGCCCTCCGCGAGGACCTCTTGGAGGCCTTTTGGGGCCATCTTGGAGGCCTCTTGGGGGCCTCTTGGGCCTTAGAGGCCAGGCGGGGGCCCCAAGAGGCTAACAGCCGCAGAACGCAATAAGCATTGTTTAACCGATCCCTGTTCCCATAGGCATGGCCTTGGCCCTACAGGCCGACTTCCCCCCCCCCCAGGTGGGGATATAAGATCCAGAGGCCCCAAGAGGCCTGAAAACGTCCCCCCGAGGCCTCAAGACTGCCTCCTATGGAGGCCCCCGAGAGGCCCCCCACGAGATACCAACGCACATCCAATAGGCTCTATACCCACAACCCAAGCACGGTGGCGGGATGGGCCGAAGGCCATTCGATATCATCCAAGGTTGCACCCCCCCCCATGCACCTGGGATCGAGACTCCCCCGCCCTCCCCGCTGGCTGGGTACGCCCGTGAGCTGCCTCGCTACGGCCTCGCGAACGGGATCGCTCCCCTCCCCGTGGCCGTGGCCTTGTGGGCGTGGCGTGGTGGAGGGTGCCAGTGCACCCCCGCCTCCCTCCCCATATGGGTGTTGGGTGGTTCGTCATCGTCGTCGTAGTCGTGGTGGTCGTCGTCGTGGCCGTCGTCGTCGAGGGCGTCAGCGTCGTCGTCGTCGTGGTCGTCGTAGTCGTCGTCGTCGTTGGCGTCGGCGTCGTCGTCGTCAGTCGTCGTCTTCCGTCGGCGTCGGCGTCTGTATCGTGGTCAAGAACGTCAAGCGCCGTCGTCGTCGTCGTGGTCGTCGTCGTCGTGGTCGTCGTCGTCGTGGTCGTCGTCGTCGTCGGCGGCGTCGGCGTCTGCATCGTCGTCAAGGTCGTCGTCGGCGTCGTCGTTGGTGTCGTCGTGATCGTCGTCATCGTCGTCGTGGTCGTTGTCGTCGTCGTCGGCGTCGTCGTCGCCAATCCCCCAAACCCAATCCATGGGGTAATGCGGTGCAACCCTCCACCCGGGATCATATATGATCTATGGTCGAGGGTTCGTCGGCGTCGTCGTCGTGGCAGTCGTCGTAGTCGTGGTGGCCGTCGTCGTGGCCGTCGTCATGGTCGTCGTCGTCGGCGTCGGCGTCATCGTTGGCGTCGTCGTCGTCATGGTCGTCGTAGCCGTCGTCGTCGTCGTCGTCGTTGGCGTCGGCGTCGGCGTCTGCATCGTCGTCAAGGTCGTCGTCCGTCGTCGTCTTCCGTCGGCGTCGGTGTCGGCGTCTGCATCGTCGTCAAGGTCGTCGTCGGCGTCGGTGTCGTGGTCGTGTCGTCGTGGTCCTCGTCGTTGGCGTCAGCGTCGGCGTCGGCGTCTGCGTCGGCGTCGCCAGCGTCGGCGTCGTCGTCTCCCGTTGGCGTCGTCGTCGTCGTCGTCGGCGTCGGCGTCTGCTCTGGCGTCGGCGTTGGCGTCGGCGTCGGCGTGGGCGTCGTCAGCGTCGGGGTCGTCGTCTCCCGTCAGCGTCGTCGTCGTCGGCGTCGGAGTCTGCTCTGTCGTCGGCGTCGGCGTCGTCGTCGGCGTCGGCGTTGGCGTCGGCGTCGGCGTCGGCGTCGTCGTAGTCGCCGTCATCGTCGTCGTCGTCGTGGTCGTCGTCGTCGACGTGGTCGTTGTAGTCGTCGTGTTCGTCGTTCGTCGGCGCCGTGGTCGTCGCTACCGTCGTTGTCGTCGTCTCTTGTCGGCGTCGTCGTCGGCGACTGCGTCTGTGTCTGCGTCGTCGTCTGCGTCGTCGTCGTCTGCGTCGTCGTCATCGTCGGCGTCGGCGTCGTCGTCGACGGCGCTGGCGTCGGCGTCGTCGTTGTCATCGTCGTCTTCGTTGTCGTCCCCAGTGGCTGTGGAACCCTCGATCCGGGATCATGTGTGATCCCTGGTCGAGTGAGTGATCACAGGCCCACCCGTATGGCTTCCAGGTTTCAACAGGCATCCCCCCAAAAGGGATGGGGGGCGACGACGACGACGCCGACGCCGTCGACGACGACGACGACGCCGACGCCGACCCCGACGCCGACGCCGACGCCGACGACGACGACGAACCACCCCACACCCACAGGGGAAGGGAGGGGGGTGCGCAGGCATCCTCCACCACGCCACGCCCACAAGGCGACGACCACAAGGCGAGGGGGAGAGCGATCTCATACGCGAGGCTTCCGCGAGGCTCACGGGCGCACCCATCCAGTGGGGACGGGGCGCTCGATCCCGCATGCATTTGGAGGGGCAGGGGAGCGGGGGGGGGTCGACCTGGGTCACATCTGCTGTGCCCTTCACGCTCGTTCGCGGGACCTGTCCACACCTGGGCGGGTGTCCTGGTGGGGCGGGGGCCGAGACAGCATGACCCGTGGACAGGCATGGGCACGACGACGCTGGCACGCGAGAATGCCTGCCGTGGTGCTTGTTCGCTACGCGGGGGCAGCAAGGGGGTGGCCCCGCGCGGCGCTCCTGGATGCGCCGTCTGCACCCGGCCTCCTCGGCCTTGAGCTCCTGCAGGGGGGGGGGGTCGGCCCACGCCGACGATCGGCGGCGGGCGCTGCCGGAAGGGGCGGCCAGCAGCCGTCCGTCGGCGGTGGACTGCACGTGTGCTGCTGTGCACCCCTGCTTAGACTCAAGGAGCTTTTACGCTAAGGATATGGTCCTTGCTCCAGGCGTTTGCCCAAACAGTAGTCCAGGTCCAGATGCGTGAGCATCCTACGAAACACGACTCCAGCCCGACCCCAATTAGGGGAACGCTTCCTAAGCGGCGTTGCTTACAATTGCTTAGCTTTGCTTTGTATTGTTTTGCATTGTATTGCATTTCTTGGCATTGCTTTGCATTGCTTGGTGTTGCTTGGCATTGCTTGACAATGCTTAGCAGTGCTTGCCATTGCTTGGCATTGCTTTGCATTGCTTGGCGTTGCTTGGCATTGCTTTGCATCGCTTAGCATTGCTTGGCGCTGCTTGGCGCTGCGTGGCATTAGTTGGTGTTGCGTTGCACGGCTTGGCATTGTTAGGCGTTTATTGACATTGCTTGGCATTACTTGGCATTGCTTGGCAGCGCTGGCATTGCTTGGCATTGCTTGGCGTTGCTTGGCGGTGCTTGGCATTGCTTGGCGTGCCTTTCCACTGCTCTGATCTGATTCGCGTTGCTCGGCGTTGCTTGACGTTGCCTGGCGTTGCCCGGCACTGCTGGGAAACAAGACCAACAACCATGGCGGGAAACCCGAGGAAACTCTCAGGAACGAGCGAAGTAAGAATACAAGGCACCCGGGGCAAGGAGCCCAAGGAGCCCGGAGAACGCGAAGAACATCCGGGGGAACGGGCACCGTAAGAATACCAGGCACCAGGGGTGGGGAACCCGAGGAACCCGGGGAACCCAAGGAACCTCCGGGAAGCGGGCAACGTAAGAATACGAGGCACCAACCTTGAACCAAGTAAGAAGCTCCATAGGCAATCCTAGCTGGGAATAAAACAAGCTCCAAGAAAACGCCAAGGGTCCAGCTCTGTCCAGACGAAATGTGACGTCCATGAACGTCTCTGTTTTTTCAGACGTCTGATGGGTGTAGGAGCTGCGGGATCATGAGCTGGAGAAGAGGAGGGGGGGAGGACGAGGAGGAGGCTTCGGACGCAGAGCGATCGTGAGGCAACGCACCCATCCACCAATCAGGAGAAGAGACCTCGCCCACCTCTGCCGAGGTACTCCCGCCGAGGCTCCGCGAGGAAGGAGGAGGAGAGGGAGAGGGGTCCGAGCCGACGGCGATGTCCGACCACGCCAACGGGCGCTCGTGCTGTCCCCGAGACGGTGCCAGGCGTGACCCTCGGCGCCGCCGGCGTGGTCAGGCCCTCGGAGCTGCGCGCCGAGGGAGGCCATAGCCAAGTCTCAGCCAGCCTTATGTCGGGCATGTCCCCCTACAGGGGGATTTACGACGAAAAATAGAAAATACCCAAAAATAATGAAAACATGCTCCAAAAATGGTCTGGGGATTATTTTTTGAATATTTTTTTACCTTTTTTGGCATATGTTTGGGGTATTTTTATCTTTCCGTCGAAAATTCCCCTGTAGGGGGACACGCCCGACATACAGCCAGCCCTTTCCCGCACTCTCCACCCTGCCAGGGGGGCCCCCTCGGAGACTCCACCCGACGCCTCCGCGGAGCACGGAGGCGCCCTCGCCTTCGGGCCCTCTGGGAGGTAGGCCCCAAGGATGCCCCCAGGCCGCAGGACACCCCGGGACAGATCCCCAGCGAGGCTCTCGGGCGCAGGGCCCCAGCAGCCCGCCTGGCTTCGACTGCTGTCAGGCCCCCCTCCTCCTCTTCCTCCTCCTCCTCCTCCTCCTCCTCCTCCTCCTCCTCCTCCTCCTCCTCCTCCCCTCCCCCGCAGAGAAACAAGGTACCGACTTCGGCGCTCCCCGCGCTCGGACCAGGCTTCCGGAGCGAGTCCACGCGCGGCGACGAAGGACGGGCAGCGGAATCGGGGTATGTGTAAGTCGGGCCTGTCCCTCTCTCTACAGGGTGGATGTTCAGAAATCATCCAACAATTATCGGGGGGGGGCATTTTTTGAGTATGTTTGAGCATTTGTGGCACATATTTGTTTTGACTATGTTTTATCTTTACCTCCAAAATCTGCCTGTAGGGGGACACGCCCGACTTAAGAATGTGTTCCTCCTCTGACTCCCCGCTCGCTCCCTCCTCCCCAACAACTGGGCCCAAACTCGGAGGCACTCGGGGGTCCTCCTGGAATCCTCGCGCTTCGATGCTTTTGCTCGGTGCTGATTTGGCCGATGCGTGATAGCTTGATACCAAGCTTGGCCTCCTCGATCGACCACGAGTTGGTCAAAGCCAAACACGTTCACTGAGAGGGAGCCAAGGCCTTCACTATGATTCAACCATTACTTACTCGTCGTTTGAACTGGTCTTGATCCCAAAACTGAACACACATCGGTTAACTTACCATGACAATCAATATTCGCCCACCTTCAGCATCCCACAGGTACAAGGTCAGGGCTGGGCAGCTTGCGAATGCGACTTCTTGTGTCAAGCCTCTCAGAAGAATTCCCCAGACAACGTGAAACCTTAGAGACAACTGTTGGTCGCTTCCAGGGCCAAGTTGTCCTACGAATCCGTCAAGATTGGGCCCATGACGGCAACCGAGATCGACAATTGAACCCACCCGGATGAACCTGTTATGGGATGCGGAGGCAGCATGTGGCCACTGGTTTGGGCACGCCTAGAAGCTTTTCGATACAGTCGGGGCGCTGACCTAAGGAACCCTAAACACGGAGCGAGGCCCCCTTTTGCCCAAAAACCTGGAGCTTCGATTTCCCCATGGACAACCTCAGGGAATCCAGAGGCAAACTGCACACCAGCCAAGGAACACCGAGCCCCTCCCCAACGAAAAGGGCTCCTGCTCCAGCGCCCCAGCTGTATCCCTCCCCCCGCCCTCTCCCCCGCTTCTCCGTGGTGCCACCCACCTCTCCCCCAACCGCCTCCCGCCCCCTGCCGCACCGCCGCGACACCACACGCCACGCCTGCGGCGGCACCCTGGCCGCCCAGAGCACGCTCTCGCGCACCGCGTCCACCAGCCCTGGGCCAGAGCACGTGCGAGCTGTGTCCACTGCGCCGGGGAGCGCAACACGCTATCCGGCACACGTATAGTTGTGGATGCCATGGCAATGCGCATCATTGAACTAGAAATGTGTTTCAAAGGTTCGAAACAGGTCCAAAGCATGTCTGAACCAGGTCCTTACATGTTTAAGACATCTTTTAACCAGTCTTCAGACATCTGGAAAGTGTTTGGCAAGATGCTTCATATCGATTGATCGTCGTCCACAAAAATAAAGACCCTGCGTTCAGGTGGTTGGCCTACGCAAGCTGTGACACCTGTACAGCCGGCCTCTCTGGCACTGAGCAATACTCGTGCTCGGTGGCCACTGCGCTGCCAGAGCAGGTACGCTATTGCTGATTGATGGTGGTCGCACTGCGGGCGGAGATGCGATGAACGCTGCGAAAAGCATGTCAGGTGTACTCGCTATTCAGACTCGGCGATCGCGAGTGACTCACTTCCTTCGTCCTCGGCGATGGACGCACAACAACCAGCTGCTGTACAAGTCAAGCAAAGAAGAGGACCCAATACCCAGAGCATCCAGGCACCCACGATGCGTCCCCTATTCATAGACGGCACAGTACACGAGCCAGCAACCCAGACACACTCCAATGTCCCACCTCGTTGCAGCAGCTCGGCATTCCCATTTGACCAAATACCGCCGAAGACACAATTGTCAGCCAGCCTGAAGCCGCTACAATGCTTTGAAGCACCGCTTGAACTCGTGAATGTAGCGGCGTCGAAATATTCAGTGGAGGATTTACCGTAACTTCTACAACTGCGGGTTGCGAGTGGTTCAACTGAGCATATGCCCGCCTCGCTGTCCGATGGGTAGACGTGCTGGCCAAGAATGAAGAAACCAGCCTCAACTGCCAGTCCCCCCAAGAGCCCACAAACGCAGAAGAGCCATTGCATGCGGATCCGAAGCGGATCCAGAAGCGCTCTCGTGGAATAACGACCGCGGCGAATAACTGTACAGTCGGGGCGTTGACCTAAGAAACCCTAAATAAGGAACGAGGCCCCTTTCTTCCATAAGTTAAACTTCAATTTCCGATTGAAAACATAAGGAAACCCTGAGGCAAGCTGTGAAACACTTAAGGAACGCGGAGCCCCTTCCCAACAAAAAGGGTTCCTTCTTCAGGGCCCCGACTGTATAACCCAGATCACACACGACACAACTGCTTAGATCAAACTGGTTGAACCTCTGGGCCACAGAGCGCTACGGATGAGTAGCCGAGTAGCCGACCGGCTATCAAGAGACGAGTTCAGCCTCGCGGTGCTGATCAGCATGGTGGGGAGACGGGTGATCCTAGACCGAAGGCACCCAGCAATTCGTGACGCCTCCGTGCCAGAATTCCATACTCTTCCCCTCAGACTCGACCTGGCTGGATCCTATCCCGGGCACTGTACACTGCAACTGGTACCATTTGAGCAGGGACCGACCGTCCCAGCATTCCTACAGGCCTACCACGACATGTTCTGAGAACCCAGAAATGTAAACAGAAAAAGAGCAGTGTCCTTAGAACATCATGCCGATGTGCTGGCACAAGACGGTCACATCCAGAACTGCTCCGAGAACACCTCGTGCAGACCACAAGAGGCTCTCAGGACATTCCTTGGTGGGCCTGCAGGCGGGCCAGGACGCTTCGCCACTGCTCGTACCGTGCGGACAGCGCGCGCGCGCGCACTGCAACACCTGAGACACCTCGGGCCCCACGGCAGGCGCCTGCAGAGCACACGGTGCGGGCCGCACTTGCGCACCTTGCCGCGGAACCACTACGCTGCGGGGCCCTCGCCAGGTCCGGCCCCGCTCCCATCCGTGTCAGCAGGGTGCGGCCGGTGCACATGCGCTGACCTTGCAGAAGTGCTTTGCACGAGCCCTGGCCAACCAACACCGTGCAGGCTCCAAGCGTGCGCACATGTGGGGATTCAAACGCCATCGGTGTTTAGAAGATGGCGCGGTATGTCTTGCACTTGCACTGAGAAGCCCAGCCGGGCGTATTCGACGCGGGGATCGCCATATAGAAATCAGATGCCCTAACACTTTCCTCTGTGCATGCCTGGGCGTAAACAAATGCCCGAATAAGACTGAGCACGTCCGAGTGTGAAGGCTCCCTTTGCTTCTGTCCACCACCGTGCACGCTGCCTTCTTTCTGGCGCCGTGTGTTGCCCCCCTGTCGGCTCCGACTTTGGGTTCCCGAGCGCTGCGCCTGCTACATCGCGGTGATCATGGGAGGAGGAGGAGGAGGAGGAGGAGGAGGAGGAGGAGGAGGAGGAGGCGGAGGAGGAGGAGGAGCAGGAGGAGGAGGAGGATGAGGAGGTTGGCGTCCGCCACGCTGGGGCTGCCCTGCGCGAGTCTCGGCCGGACCTGGGGTTTGGTCGGGCGCGTCCACCTACAAAGGGATCCCGGACGAAGAATTACCAGAATGGTCGAAGAATCGGCCCCAGACGATTTTTCAACTATTTTTGAATATTCCTCCTGTAGGGGGACGTGCTCGACTTAACGCGAGTCTCGACCGGACCTGGGGCCCCCGAAGGGCCTCAAACCGCCTCCTCCCCGCCTGCGGACGTCGTGCTCCCGCGCTCTCGACCTCCCATGGCCTCACTTCAGAGCTACCGCCGAAGCATAGATCACTCCAGGGTGGAGGAGGGTGGAGGTCCCAGACGCGAAACTCCCATTCCGGCCCCTCGCCCCCAAAAAAGATGGACCAGCATAATAAACAACATCTTCCCCAAACTATCCTTATTTTCGAATATTCCCCGTGTAGAGGGACAAACCCGACTTAGGCCTGGGGTGCACTTCTCTTTGTCCCCGCCGGCTTCTGGTGGCCAGAGAGCGCCCCGGCTTTGCCTCCGCTGCCAGCCTTCCGCCGAAGGTGAGAGCTCCGCTTCGCGATCCCGCAGAAGGCGAGGCACCCCCCAGAGTGGGTGACCGACTCCCCCCCACGGCGCGGGTTGGCCTGCGCTCTCGTGCCCCTGGCTTCAAGCACAGGCCATGCTGCCCTTCAGCGCCAGCGAAGCGAAAGGCCCATCGCGAGGGCCGCACCCCTCGTCCTCTGCCCTCGCCCTCGTCGTCCTCGTCCTCGCCCTCGTCGCCGTCGCGCGTGCGCCGAGACTGGGTCCTCCACCCTTGCCTGCTGGGCCTGCAGCTTCTTCTCGTCCTCCTTCTGCGCCGCGCGCAGCTGCACGAGCTTCTCCTCGAGCTCCTGCAGCGCGGCCCCGGACGCTCCGACGCCGGGCCCTCCCGCAGAGCAAGGTGCTTGCACTGATGGGTTCTCGCCCGGCTGCCGACGATGCAACGCGGGCGGGCGAAGATCGCCGTCGTCGTCGTCGTCGTCGTTTTGCCGGGGTTCTCGCTCGGCGAGAGCCCGCGCGCCTCGCGGGCGCTCCGTGCGCGGGCTGGGTAATCGTCGTCTCTCTCGCTTTCTCTCTCTCTCTCTCTTTCTTTCTTTCTCTCTCTCTCTCTCTTTCTCTCCACTCCCTGTGATCACGCATGGGGATACAACATCGGACCAGCAGGCAGCAGCAGGGGGCGAGGTGGAAGCGTCTCCTCCCCAGCTCGGCACGGCGACCTCCAGGAGGCAAGGGGCACCTCTCTCTCTCTCTGTCTCTTCTTTCTCTCTCTCTCTCACACTCCCTGTATCTCTCCGTCTCTCTCTCTCTCGTTCTCTCTTTCTCTCTTTTTTTTTCTCTCTCTCTCTCTCTCTTTCTCTCTCTCTCTATTTCTCTCTCTCTCTCTGTTTTTTTTTTTTTTTTTTGTTTCTCTCTCTCTCTCTCTCTCTCCCTCCCTCTTTGTGGAGAGGCCTGGGGCCCGTGCCTCAAAAACTTCGAGCCGCGAAACGCCCGGGGAGGGCGCGGATGAGGAGGGCGAGGGCGGGGAGGAGGAGGAGGAGGGGGAGGACGGAGGAGGAGGAGGAGGAGGAGGAGGAGGAGGAGGAGGGGGGAAAGGGGAGGGCGACGATGATGATGATGATGATGATGATGAGGAGGAGGAGGAGGAGGAGGAGGAGGAGGAGGAGGAGGAGGAGATGGAGGAGGAGGAGGAGGAGAGGAAGAGGAGGAAGAGGAGGAGGAGGAGGAGGAGGAGGAGGAGGAGGAGGAGGAGGAGGAGGAGGAGGACGGGGAGGACGGAGGAGGAAGAGGAAATGGAGGGAGAGGAGGTGGTGGTGGGACGCAGGCATGGCGGAGTTCCGCGAGCTCTCGTCTGAGCTACCCTCTACCCCTCCAGTCCTGTGGGAGGGACATGGCAGCAAGATGGGGGCCCAGCCTCGAAGAAGCCGGAGCAGGAGATGGCGCCTGCCCAGGGCACTCGCCGCCTCGGCCCTCCTGGCCTCTCGGCGGCGGCGGGCCTCGGCGCGCTTGGCGGCGACGAGGCCCAGCTGATCTATAGTGAGGGGGGGCGGCCGAGGGGGGGCAAGCGGAGGGGAAGGGGGAGAGGGGGGGGGGAACGTCAAACCCTACAAACTCCTCAGCTTCAGGTTCCTCCTCCAGCCCAGGTCTGAACTCAGCTGCTAAAGCAGGGGGCTGCTCATAATCTGGAGTCGGATCCCATACTGCACATCATGTGTGACATCAGTGTATTGTTCTGAACCTGCGTAGTTCAGGATCTGTCCGACATACTCTGTGTTTGCTACTACTACCAGCTCCGTGGTCAACATCTGGCGCTGACATGAAAACCTGATCCACTTTTGCAGTGCAAGAGCGGCGCAGTCCCTCCACTAGCACCCGGTCTGGATATGACATGCAATCTGCTTCATTGTCATCAGCGTATATACGCGTGATGGAGGCAGAGGTGGCACTGACGAAAAGGCGACACATCTCCGCTTGGTACGTTTTCTTGGCATTGGTTCTAAAGACGGAGCGGCCTTCTGGGGGAACTTCTTCTCCCCGAAGGACTTCGTGGGCTCCTGGAGGGCGGCGGCACTTCCCTCGACGTGGTGCGTCGGTGAGTCGGGCAGCTCGACACTCAAGCCGAAGCCCCAGGAGACGCGTCGGTCCGCGCCCGCATTCTGCGGGATCCACGTCCGCGGTTTGATGCACGCACTGGTAGAAGTCGGCAGTCGTGACCACAGGCGACGCAGCCAGGGCCTCCATGGGACCCCACTGGAAGCTGCTGGGGGCCTGGGGCCTCCAATGCGGGGGGGCTGGGCACTGCGTCCACCCCGAGGTCCCTGCCGCCATGTGGCGCCCCAAGAGATGCACCAGGTGCTGCAGCAGGACCTCTTCGCCTCGCAGTTGCGCAGCCCGCGGCGCACCCCAGAACCACTCGCGCGCGCGCAGGGGGGGGGGGGGGGGGGGGCCTCCAGCCAACGGGCCGCGCTCCAGGTGTCACAGGGAGGCGCCCCCGTGCGTTCCAGACCCATTTGGATAGGATGTGCCCACCTCACTCACGCATGGTAGCTGAGCGCGTCAGGTCCCCCATGGCATCGCCAATGGCTATGTCCGCAAAGCGTGGTCATGCGCACTCGATCGTGAAAAAAAACCCTTCGGTCCAGGATTGCGCGCCACCTGCTCGTCTCCGTCCTGAGAACAAATTGGGTACAAACGCTTCTGCGCGATGGGTGCGGCGCGGCACGCATTGAGCTGCGCTGGCAGTGTAGTCAGGGGGCCTGTATCTGCAGTGACGGTCGGAGAGGCTGCTCCTGGGTCGGTGGTTCAGGTGGGTTGTTCAGTAAGTCCTGGTTGGCGGGGGGGGGGGGGGGGGAGATCGGATCAAGCTCGTGGGCTTCATGACTCCTGGGTAATCGACCTGGCCTCTGGCCTGGTCATCGTCAATGAGCGCTGATGCCAGCGTAGCTGATGGGCAGAGGCCGCCCTCCGGATACTGTGCTGATGCGGGATGGGCTGCGCGCCATCTTCCAAATCCTGCGCGGCGCTGCGCTGCGTGATGAATGGCGTCCTGCAGACGCATAACCTTGGCTCTGCCGGGATCGATAGTAGCGTCGCGCATCACGCAGGCAAGGTGGCAGACAGGCGCTCCGAATGCAAGGTGGTATCGCGGCTGCCTTCTGGATGAGAAGGCAGCTGAACACGACGCGCATGTACTTCCCTCCCCCATGAATCGTGGCGCCACATGTGCTGCACTGTAGCGTGTACGCACAATGTGCTGTCTTGCGATATTCGCCGTGCCCCCTGTGTAGTCGCACCACATACACTGCAATGCTGGCAATCATGTCTTGCCTGGATATGAGGCGCGAGGGGTCGGCACTTGGCACGGGCACCCTTGCTGGGCGAACTAGATCGAACAAACAACTGCTTCTGTTTGCTGGGCCATCGCCGCGCGGCTGGCTGCATGCGCGCGGGCGCGTAGAGCAGTCACAGGCATGCTCTTCCACGCCGAAAGTGGCTGCATGGTGCGATCTCCCCAGGCGTGAAAGTTATCCGCTGGGGCCGGCATCTCTCGTAGCTGATGGTGCGTGGTGCGGAGCCATTCTACATCGTCGATGACCCGTGCGTCCACGTGGCGCGCAGTTCTTGTGCTGTGCGATATACACGCGTGACCAGGCTTCGCAGAGTAGACGCACCGCGATGCAGTAAGCGCCCAAACAGGCGCAGACGCTGCACACTCAACGCTGCTTGTAGGTCGGGGCACTCCGCTTTAGACGAGACAGCCCTGTCCGGGACCGTGTCAGAATAATTCTGCGGCGTGTAACATCTGTTCATACCTAGTGACCATGACGTGCTGCGCGCGGGCGCAGTGCGCGTCCGTTAGAGCCGGCCACGCCCCAGAGTTGTAGAATCGCCCCGGGAAGAGGAGGGCGTCGGTAAACTGGGCAGCCTCAGGGAGATCCACTGAGGCCCCAAAGATGCGACGCCGAAGAAGCTGCCCTGAGGACTTGATAGAGGCCTTTCGATGGGCCAATGCAAGCCCGATGGTGCCAACAGGCTCGTCCAGTTGGGTGCCCAAGTGCGGATATGCACGTACTTCACGACGCGTGAATGTGCCTGAAATGCCCGACTGCACCTGGTACTGCCCTTGGCGTTGTCGCCAAAGCTCTCTTTGGCAGCCTCGGAATTGCAATAGCACCTCAGTTTTCCCCACTGCAAAGTTGAGGCGGAGGCCTCGTCGCGCGATGCTGGTAGCCACTGCCTCGGCGCGGCGCAGCTGAAAACTGGAAGATCGCTGGGGCGATAACCGCGATGGCTCCATCATCAAACAATACACGCACATCCAATCCCCCTGATCGCATCAGGCGTCGCGGTGAGTAGGTCGGACATACTGGCATGCATGGCGATGGGAACGCGGACGTCGAGCTCGAGCTCGCTTAAACTCTGCTGCGCTTCACGCATGCATGCTGCCATGACAAAATTGAATATCACATCGCCCAGCTGCTGACCAGGCACTGCTCCTTCCACTGCGCATGCAATGGCTGGGGCCCCTGGATGCCAGAACCAACTGCCTGCGTAGCTGGAGGCCGCAAGGGCCCGCGCGTGCCGAGACGCGCCAGCTGCCTCCAGGATAGTGGGGCGCTGTGCCACGCGGGCCTCGAGGTCCTCAATGGCGCTGGTAGGGGGCCCCGCGGTGGTGAGGACGACGTGGAGATCGGAGTCTGAGGTGCCGTTTCAATCAGCATGGCCAGTTCCCTCATGGCCCTGTAGAAGGCCGACGCAGCAGCAAGCATAAAGAAGAGGGCCGGCTGTTTGAAGACCAGCGCGAGCTCCTTGAAAGATCTCAGGGCCATAGCGGCCAAGTCGACCCCACGTCCCGAGATGCCCCAATGCTGCTTGTCTCCTGCGTACTCTGGAAATGCGGCTGCGCGCGGTCTCCGTGGGAGTTGTCGATATGTCTTGCCTACTTGGGCAGAAATCATGACCGACCGATGATGACTGCAAAGAGCTGCCGCGGCCTCGCGCTTCCAAATATTCCAATAATTGCCGCCTCTACACTGTGTTGGCTCTTCGATCCGAAGGCAAGTCTTGACAGCAACTGGATGGAAGAGGCTGCCCATCGCTGGCGCAAGCTGTCTGGACACCTGGAATGCCATCGAGACTGGCTGCAGATGGCCTGGCAGAGCGGCAGGCCTGCCGGTAGTCTGCCAACGATGGCATCAAACACTACAGCATGCCCTACGTCGCGCGTGAGGGCTGTGTCGGGCTGCGGGAGCTGATAATAGAACTCGTCTGCATCTTGGCTAGGGGGCCACAGCTCCGATCTTTTCGGCGAAAAAGTGGCGAAGCCACCTATCCGTTGCCTCTGTGTGCGCGG